GGRAAARRAAWWAMYAGTTCTTTACTAGTATGTGTAACGAGGCAAACAACCAGCAGCAGCAATAAACGAAAGCACAGCGGCGGTGCCAGCCGGCTCCGGGCGGTGCCCTGTGTGCAGTTCCAGCCACGGCCGCCAGGGGGCGGGCGGTCATTTCCCCTCGCCGGCAGGGGGCGCTGTGGCGCGGGCTCGGCCGCCCCTCTCCCTCACGCAGGGATGGGGCCCGGCTGATGTCGGAACGGGCTACAGCAAAAACCTCGGAGCGGCGGCTTGAACGGCAAAGGTAGGAACGTCCCCTAGGGCAAATACATTATGGCAGAAACTCCCCCGCCTTGGCAGGGGCTGCGGGAGACGGGTAGCAAAAAAGCCCCGGGCAGTGCCAACCCGGCATCTCCGGGGAGATGCGCCCTCTGGAAAGGGGGAAGCGTTCGGGGTGCTGGGTTTTCCCCTGAGGCACCTGAGTAACTGGTGATGGTCCTTTCCATTCAAATCGGCTGTTAATAAGGTCCCACTTCAGTGTCTGCTCTTACGAGCAAATGGCTTCTCACCCACATCAGGGAAGGGGCAGTAAAGGGCTGGGCTCTGGCGGTGGCAGTGAATTCTTCCCACAGTAAGCAACATCTCGACCATCCTCCTCCGATGCTGAGAGAACGAGCTAAGAGGTGTGCCCAGCCCCTTTCCCCCAGCCCAAATCTCCTAAAAAAAAAATAAAAAAATCCTAGCTTCCAACAGAAGCATTGGAAGAAGTCCAGATTATAGGAAGGACAAGCTGTTCTCTCCTGCCACTCCCCCCAAAACACAGATATAAAATGGACAAACCAGGTGTTATCGTGAAACATGGCCTCCTTCTGGAAATCATATAGTGGAGTTTCCATTAGCTGATACTTCCAAGAAAGCAAAATTCTCAGTAAACAAAATTTGCCCAGAACTGCCTATTTCCCATCTCCATGGCTGTTTGAGGGGTGTTTTGAGTAGTGTAGCTGTCCTGGTGTGCTGTGACCTCCTCTTAATGTCATTTTGTGGACCTATGTTTGTGCCCCAAACCATCATCCTAAAGGATCTCTCTTCCCTATCCTTCCAGATGACCATTCTCCTTGGGGGTAGAGTATGATGATTTTTTTTTTTTAATCCAGCCATAAGGCAGCTAATATGTTTTCTTATTTTAATGAGCTTTTCTTCTAAAGTTTTGACATATCTACCAAGAGTTCAAAATAGCTCCAAATAGAAAATATTACTTCAGCCCAGTGTCGGTAATTGTCTCAATGGAGAAGAGAAAGAGGATGGAAGAAGGATGTGTCTTTCAAGGCGATGGTTGTAAAATATTATCTGTTTCCTTGAATTCCCATATTTTATCTCTTGGAGTCTATCATGTTTGACTTGTTGGTAGTTTTTGAACAGAACAATTAGCAAAAGACTTAGAGTTGTTTTTGTTAAATATTAATAAACTCATTTCCYTAAGTGGAGTGCAAAGAGACAACAGGAGGATTAACCTATCCTCCCTTGTCTGATATTTTTTTGGCAGCAGTGAGAACTTAAGCGGCTACTCGTTCCTCCCTGGTTATTCATTTTCATCAGTTTTTATTGCAGCGGGTTGAGCCCTGGTGTMTTCAGCCTCTTCAGCTTAATGCATSTGCTYTAGAATGAATCTCACTCTGCTTTTCAGCTGTTATGGGGGGGACAAAAAAAGTGTTGCTAATTGAAAATGCATGGGCAGGTTCTGTACACCCAGGAAAGAGGCACTGCCAGATTCAGGCTTTTTCTGGCCATTCTGATTCTCTGCAGGACTGTGRAAATGCTCCAGCTGTGGCTGTGAGGTCCAGCTGTACAGAACAGTGCAGGAGCTGAAGTCTTTTTATCAGTGGTGGCTTGTTCATTTTGGCCACTGCTGTGGCTTTGCCTGGTGCCCACCGATGCCACCCTGCCCAGGATCAGGACCAGGGTGTGCAGCTCCATGACCAGCTCATGATCCCAGATAATTACACATGGCATGGTAAGCCCTGTCCTGCTTCAGGAGTGCTGAGCTTACARGAAAGGATGGCAGCTCATCCCTTTGGAGACCAGCCTGCTTCTAGCAGCACTTGAAATGCCTGCTGAGTCTCAGAAGGGCCTATTAAAGCTGCATCTTAAATTATTATTATGTGTACTCCCTCTGCTGTGGAGGGGGTCAGCTTTCTGCTGAGCTGAATATTTATCCTGTCTGGGACCCTCTAAGGCAAGGGAACCTTGAGCACTCCAACTATGTGGAATTTACTGTGTTAGCTGATATTTTCACCTTCTAAGTTAGACCCTTTTTTTCCCCTTTTATGTTGCATTTAATTCTTAAGAGTGAATCCAGAGTGAGTTTAAGAAAGCAGTGCCACCAGYAATTGTTCTCTGGATTTATGAATAAAATGGTGTTCAGTAAAACACTAAAGTACCTTTTGGACAGTTCCTGCTGATTTCTAATTGTATATTCAATAAGTTATTTTGCTCGGATGGGACCCCTAGCAGAGATGAGTTCCATCGTTTTCTGTTTATTGGAAGGGAACAATTACAGAAGCTTAATGCATTTAAAGCAAATTCTTATCAACAACTTAAGGAATCTTCCTTCTGTAGGAAGCTTTGTTATTGTGTGATTATCTCAGTAGTAAATGAAAATATTTCACTGAAAATAAATGCACAGAGGAAAAGCAATTTTGATGAGAATTGCATAATCTGGAGCACTGAGATCCCAGTTTGTCTCTACTCAGATACCTCCAACAAAGATTTTAGTGTTCTGCAAAAGTGCCATATCACAACTTGCTTTTTCTTCTGTGCATGTTTTAGTAAAAAATGCTTGAATTTTTTTTATGAACCATCCATGTGCTGAAAATAAACCCTCTTTCTTCAGCAAATTTTCTTTTTGGGTACCCATTATATGCAGATTAAAACTGCCATAAGATGTCTAATTTTCAAGAAAATGCTGATTTGGAGTAGTCTGGCAGGACTCCTTTGAGCATGTGAGTTGACTGCTGCYTCTTGAGCTGTAGAGTTTGGGTAGATGGTGCAGTGTGACGATAGTAGAGCCACTGCTCTGCCTGCTTAAAGTGTCCCCCTGCTGAGTGATATTTCTTCATTCTGTGAGGGCCCTTCAAGGACTTTGATCCTACAGATCAACCATGTGTGTTGCCTGGTTTTAAGAGCCTGGACTTTGTGATGAAAACTGTCCTTTAGTGTATTATCATTTTGTTACGCTGCATGGTTTGGGCTGTTACAAAACCTATCCATAAAAATCATTTTATCTGAGTATCCAAAAGCAATTTTATCTGAGTATGAGACTTGAATATAGGAGGAGGTCACTGGAAAGTGACTGCCTGAYGCTGCAGAGTGCAAGGACTTAAAAYCACTGTGGTTTTATTTCTATCAATAATGAAATCCCCATTGAGCCAATATTGGATTAGGTCAGCTTTCAGTGGTCTTGAAACTCCCGCTCCATAAGCATTTCCAAGAATTTTTCCATGCAAAGGCAGAAACAGGAGATTTTTTTTGTGTTCATGCATGTCACCGTGCACTGAAAATGGGACAGAGTCAATTAGAGCTCTTACCCTTTTCAGAGGTCTCTGGAGACTCCCTAAATAATAGATAGGCACACAGTTACATAAACAAAATGCCCTGATGTTTATAGCTCAGATGCTGGTAAATCTTGAAGAATTACTTTCAAATAATTTAGAGGGGAAAAAATTGCAAAAATATGAAACCATATTCGAGATCTGTGACATTTCCCTGGTTTCCAAATTATTCTGCTTTGTATTCAAGTCTGTACTTCCTCAAAGCTTCCAATTCTAGATTATTCTATGTCATGTCCATAGATTTCAAAAAACAAAAAAAAGTTGTATTCCAGATGTAATTAAAAAAGGAAGAAAAACAAGCTCAGGACAGAGGTTCAGCTTTTCTGAAATCTGTGACTGTTTATGTGATGCCATTTAGTAGTGGTGACCAAAGAAGTAGACAAAGATCAGAAAGGAGATAAAAGCACAAAGGACACAGTATTTCCAGTAAAGATAAAGGGATAGAAGCATAGGTTT